TCTCAAACAATCCAGCCTGACCCCTGCAAATTGCCGCGAAGCCACAATGAGGGATGTACACACTGGAAATGAACCTTTGATCTCACATACCCAGGTACCTATACTATTATTCACAGAATAACACCAAGAACATAATTCGACCCCTCTCTATTACTTGTAGCTTCTTTCGAGGAAACCAACAACACTCTCTTAAACATCCATTCCCTTGTTTACTTTCAATCCTTATTAATAGTATCTTTCCTTTTATGTTTACGACAACGAGAGTTGAAGATCCCACAGATATTCCAGACACAACAGTACTGACTGGCCTGCGAGGCTACAATTCACGGGCTAGACGTCCCATTTCCAATGACGACGAGCTTGACATTGGTCCTCTAATACCAGAGGCTCCTCTTATGAAACAGAGGATAGAATTCTTATATTCAATCGCATGCGACATTTGTTCTTAGTCTGCAAATCACAAAGCATACATCATGGAGGAGCCAGAGAAAGAGAGCCTAGATGGCTCGTCCATAGTAGGAATATTATAACATACAACTCTGCGAACGGTCTGCTAATATTTGACTTGTCTAGAAACCAGTTTCATCTCTGCGGTCCCATTTCGAACAAATGGCGAATGCCCAACCGGCCAATAACACTGCAACAAGAGGAGTTTCTCCAAAAGGTTTGAGGAATACTGCTAGTCCTGGAGATACCGCCAGAGTAGCGCCAACCATACCGAACCGACCGGAGTCAGTAACGCATCTAGCGGAGTCAGTTCACTCTGCGAGAGGTCGTGATGCAGAAGCGACTGATGTTACACTGCGGCCTCCGCGTGCGAATGGCGGTCGAAAGTTATCTCCCTCACCTACTCGAGTTATTACTCCTTCTCCAAGGCCAATATCAACTGCCCCTCCCGCCGTTACTGTTCAGCCACCCCAATCACCTCCAAAGATAAAGAATCTGAATCTTTCATTGGCAAACACCTCTGCGTATTTATCAACAGATGCACCCTTTTCGGCCTCGTTCAATAGTTCCTCCCAGGGCCATTTCAAAATTCCTAGTCGGTCGACTACACCTTTGACGGAAACCAAAAACTCGTCTTCTTACCCATCTTCACTTCCGCCTTCGCCACCTCCTCCTAGACGATCAGGTGAGGTTAGAAGGAATTCATCATTTAAGGTTGGACCTCCGCCGATCAATCGCGCCGACAAACCTAAGATATCAAGTAAGCCGGTAGGGTTCAGTTCAAGCGCAGAAAGTGTGAACTTAGCACCTATATCCGTTCAAATACCTATAGAAAAGACATCTCCATTTAGTACCCCTCCGAGTAGTGGAGGAAGTATCGAAAACGAATATCCAGTAGCGCCACCATTACCGCGAAATAGGCCACGGCCAGTCTCCTACACTCCTTCGTCTAGATCTTTCGAGCCTCCCCCTAGACATCATTCCGTTTCAAGTAGACAGAGAGATCAGGAGACCAATGGTCTAGGTCGAGCTATAATATCCCCGCAATTTACGGGGGGGGACCGAAGACCTGCGTTACCTAGCCGGCCAATGCCACCACCTCCTCGGCCTTCCGTTGACAGATCAAGACCACCAGTGACTAATGCTATGCCGGTTGACAACGGACAAAATTTCGCGACTCCTCCAAAAAGAGTTCTTTCAAACCCTACGGCCCAATTACAAACTCCAACTAGACATGGGAGATCTATGACAGTTGATAGAACAAGCGATAAAACGCCGGCCGAGTTCAGAACTCCAGTGGTGTCTGTGTCAACTAGAACCGACCATCGTCCTCCGAGTGATGTGCCCTCCACTCTAGTAATCAGGGAAGGCCTATCTTTCAAGGCAGGCGAATATCCGGATACCTCTCATTCAAACCGTAGACCTCCATACTTTACTAAAGGAGCATACGAAATATCAACAAAGTATGATACTCGCATTTTAGATGTTTGCGGAGAATACGTATGCACCACTGGTCACGTAACTAGGGTTTGGAGTCTACTAGACGGAGGTGTAGTTATGACCCTAGCCCATACCGAGGGAATTAAAGTCGTATCTGTAGCTTTCAAGCCAGCAGCGGAAGTGCAAAATGAGGGCACAAGGCTATGGTTAGGTAACAATATTGGAGATTTGGTCGAGGTTGATATTTCAAGCGGAAGCATTGTCGCGAGCAAGTCCAACGCCCACACTCGTCGTGAGATAGTTAGAATTTATCGACACTTGAACGAGTTGTGGACACTTGATGATGGTGGATCATTGCATTTATGGGCTGCAGACGACACTGGTGAACCTAATTTGACCAACAACCCATCCCAGAGCTATCGACTTCCGAAAGGTCATACATTTTCGCTGGTTGTTGATGGTGAACTGTGGCATGCAGCAGGCAAAGATATACGAATTTTCATCCCGACACTAGATGGAAGCTCTCAGTTTCAGGTTTTACAACGTCCTCTTCATCAACCAGATGCAGGTGAAATAACATCGGGTGCTGTCATAAGTTCTCAGCCTGACCGGATATACTTTGGTCATGTTGATGGAAAAGTAAGCATATATTCTCGACATGATTATGCATGCCTAGGAATAGTAAATATCAGCGTCTATAAAATTACATCTCTTGTGGGTGTAGGTAGTAATCTTTGGGCTGGCTTTAGTACGGGCATGGTATATGTATATGATACTACTTATACTCCATGGGTCGTAAAGAAGGACTGGCGTGCTCATCATGATCCACTTATTGGCCTATTTGTTGACCGTAGCAGTTTTTGGATGCTTGATCGGGAACATGTCATCTCCTTGGGCCAGGACAATATGATACGAGCATGGGATGGCCTGCTTCAGGATGATTGGATGGAGCACCAGATGCAATCTCAAGAAGCAGATTTCTGCAAACTTACCCCAATCAAGACTTTAGTTATGACGTGGAATGCGGGCGCATCTACTCCATATCATCTTCAACAATCTGATCAGGATTCGAGGTTCTTGCCTCAACTTCTTCAAGACAGCGATCGGCCAGATATATTAGTCTTCGGATTCCAGGAATTAGTTGATCTAGAAGATAAAAAGACTACCGCTAGTAAGTACGCTGCTAACTTATAAAACCTCCTTCTAACTGGTTGGCAGAAAGTTTTTTCAAATCGAAGAAGAAGGAGAAAGATTCTGATCATGAACACATGAGCCACCAATATCGAAATTGGCGAGACTTCCTTACCCGATGCTTAGATGATTATGTTCAGGGTGAAATATACCACTTGCTTCACACCGCAAATCTAGTTGGCCTATTCACATGCGTATTTGTCCGATCTCCACTTCTACCACGAATCAAGAATATCAATGCCGCTGAAATCAAGAGGGGTATGGGTGGACTCCATGGGAACAAGGTAAGAGTCTTCGCAAAAGTTTTCGCTAGTCATATGGGTTTTCTGACGTACATTAGGGCGCATTGATTCTTCGATTTATGCTGGACGATACATCGATGTGCTTCATCAACTGTCATCTTGCTGCTGGACAAACACAAACGAAAGATAGAAACACAGACATAAGTATGATCCTTGAAAGCCAGGTTCTGCCTGCAGAGCGCGATCACAGCGTCCGCATAGATAGTTTTGTGGGAGGCGGTGATGGAACAATGATCCTCGATCATGAAATCTGCATTTTGAACGGCGATTTGAACTACCGTATCGATACAATGGGTAGAGATACTGTGGTTAATGCGGTAAAAGCCAACAACTTGGCAAAACTTCTCGAGCGAGATCAACTTCTTGCCTCGAAACGCAAAAATCCATGGTTTCGATTACGCGCTTTTCACGAACTACCCATCACTTTCGCGCCAACCTATAAATACGATGTAGGAACCGACAATTATGACACGAGTGAGAAGAAAAGAGCACCCGCTTGGTGTGATCGATTACTTTACCGTGGACACAATCGTGTGGAGCAGCTCGATTACCGTCGACATGAGGTTCGAGTGTCTGACCATAGGCCCGTAACTGGATTATTCCACATGGTTATTAAATCAATTTCACCACAGAAGCGTGCCGTTAAATGGGAGGAATGTTTACAGGACTTTAAAAATTTGAAAGAAAAGCTTGGGTCAGAAGCAAGGTAAGCTTTTTCTCTAGCTCTCAATCGGTCGTCACGATATTATCATTACCGACGCTAATCGACATTTAGGCTTGATTATCTCATAAATGTTCTGGGTTTCGATCCAAAGACTAGTCAACAGATAGTTTCATCGGGGCCGGGAACTTATGGGGGCCGTTGATTAGCTTCATCAACATTCTAGGCTAGAAGTTCAACACACATCGTAAAAAGACATAGATTATACTTTACCGTGAGTCGAGTATTAAAATGCGAGGAGCAGAAAGGTCAACCCTTCCACCCCTTTTAGAGGTTACCAGCTCAAGATATGGGATACGAGACATGGGATATGGCTTATGTGCCACCAATTCTCTAGCATTTTGTGTGGTTTAGGAATGAACACGTGATGAGAAGTCCTGCGAGGACTAAAGGAGCGCACGTCATGATGTACAAGCCTAGCTCGGTTGGCTGGTGGTCCTCTGAATGTTGCCCCACTATTCAGGTACAATCCCCGCAGCATAGAAAGTGTTTCCATCATAGATGCAACAAATGACGATATGAATATGAAGAAGAAATAATACTAAGTAGCTACCTGGGTATTAGGCAACTTGTATCTAGTAGGTATGTTCCCAACTAAGAATTCGAAAGGTTAATGAGACAGCAAATATCAATTTAAACATTCCTAAAATGGTTGGGTGCTTTTTTGCGTTTCTGCTTTTGTTCTTTCCATGTATAATACTAATAGTTGTTTGTCAACAATTGGATGTTTATTAAGACGTAAAATCAACCTCAATAATCTTCTTCTTTCTCCATCATCTTCCATCTGCCTTACATTCCCATTCTCATTCCAATCAAACCCCATATCTTCCTCTTATCCCCATCAACACATATCCCACACTCACACTCACACTCGCTCTCAATCCTACCACCCCCTCAAAATGTCTCCCTCCTCAGACAACTCCACCTCCAACGCCAAGAACGAGGCCCGATCTCAAGGTCACAAAGACGAGGATATTGAAGGCGACCACAATGAGTGGAAATTCAGAGTCCCGTATAAAGTGCATGAAAACGATGAGGATTTTAAAGTGCTGTATGAAGGGGGTTGTCATTGCGGACGGGTGAAGTATCAGTTGAGTAGGGAGAGGCCCTTGAGTGCGAAGTTTTGTCATTGCACGACTTGTCAGGTTTTGCATGGTGAGTTTTTTGGGTGGTTGGATTTTGGTTTGGGAGAGGGGGAGAGGGAGGGGGAGAGTGATGAGGGGAGTAAGAGGAAAGAGGTGATGAGATAGGCTTGGAGGGGGGGATGAAAATGAGAGAAATGCTAATGCAAGGGATCTATAGGAGCACCATTTCAATGGGCTGCGATTTTCCATAAAGAAGATATCAATTTCACCCATGGACATCATGATCTGGGTTGGTACGTACATATATCTTCTAATTCCTCTAACTGCCCTCTTTCTTTTTCCCTTGCTCAAAACCTCCCCAATATCTTTACTTGTCACTCTTATCCTCCAATTAACACCCCAATTAGGTACGAATCCGAAGAAAAAACCACCCGTCACAAGCTTCCCTGCAAAGTAAGCTGTGCATACTGTCGTACGCCCATCATGGACGAGGGAAGAAATATGATATTGCTTTTCCCGAGCTTGATTAAATTCAAGAATCAAGAGGAGAAAGAGAAGTTTAACCCTACGTTAGTTTCCTTTCTTAATTGTTTCTCCGTTGGTCTCAGAACTTTGTTGTGGTCTTTTGTTTTGAAGGGGAAAGTTTGGCGAGGATGAGATGAAGGAAATGCTAATTGTAATTGATATTTGTGATGTAGATGTCATATGTTCTATTCAAGACGCCTAGTAGATATTCCTGATGGATTACCTAAATGGACGGGCTTGAATGACAAGAGTGATTTGATTGAGGACAGTCCTCCTGAAGCTATTCAAAAGAGAAAGAGAGAGAAGGAAGAAGAGGAAAAAGAGGGAAAAGATGGGAAAGATGGGAAAGGAGAAAATGGCCATGAGAGGAAGAAAGAGAGAAAGGAATAGATTTTCTGAGGGTTGAGAGATCTGTACTGGTGGCAAATATAACGTTGTGGTATCTCTATTCTGGTGCTTGTTCTAGTAATCCCACCATCTCAGGAATGAACGAGGATTTCTTTATCCCCCTGGTCCTTTGGTCGCGACTGCCATAATACCCCCCTTCGTGCACCACTGCGCCAATATTTGAAACATAGCTCCTCCCCTTTCCAATTTCTCTTCGCTCCTTTTCATTTTCCATCTGTTCTCTCCTCAACGTCCGAAGCACCAAACAAATTACTACCATGAAAATCCTTGTTCCATGTGAGGATATCTTATTAAACAGTACAATCTTTGGCACGCTCGGATGTTATGATATATATGAGGAAACCCATTGCAAGATGCCTGCAAAATATCCACAATAAATCACTTGGGCCAGTCTCCAGTATTCATACACCTGCGTCCGCGCCACCATTCTTCAACAACAAGCCATCCAATCTCAGCAATCCCAAACTCATGAGTCCGTTCCCGGCATTGCCACTACCAATCCTCATGGCCCATCTCCAACGAGTCACAAGCTCGTGGATCTCGGCTGATTCGCTTTCGTTTTCGGATGTGACGAGTAGTTGCATAAGAAACGATGATGCGATTGCAAAGTTTGCACGAGACCCTGATATTCAATTAGCGATTATAGGTAGAAAGGGTAGTCGAAACTTACAAGAATGCCAAAAAGCATCTAAAGCACCCCTTCCAAGATTTTCTACAAACTCAACAACTTCTTTTGCGCATTCTCTAGCCCCAGCTCGCACAGCTAGACGACTACCTACTGTTGCGTCTTCTTCTACGCTTGTTAAGTTTTCGAGAGGTCGGAGAAGAGCTCGAAATAATGTCATGGTTGCGACGATATAGGCGAGTGAAAGTGATGGATTTGCACTTAATTGGGCTAGACCACGGGAATCTAAATGTTCTGTCTGACGGAGGGACATGGAAGGAGGCAATGAATCGTTCCAAGTCTTGAGCCGTGTGCGGAGTGGTCTTGCTAGTTCGAGGGATAGCGAGAAATCTTTCGATGTACGTTGTGTTGCCCGCACTGTGTAATAGGAATCAACAATGTCGCTGAGAATGGCGGTCAGCTCGGTTAGTAACCGAAAGTGTTCTGAATCGGGTTCTGATTCTGTGATGGGTTGATTGGGGTCGGGGGTTGATGCTTCAAGATCATTATCTTCAAGTGGAAGGACGTCGAAATCATCAGCATGTATGTGGCTTGGCATTCCCGCGCCCAAAGACGCCCACTTATCCATGACAAAAACTCCATACCAAAGTCTTTTTCTCAAATTCATTTCCCATACTGGTATACTACTCCAGTCACTACATTCCTTCATCAGACCCAGAATCTGAGCAAGACTCACTGTCCACCCCACAAGACTCGTTTTCCAAGGTGTATCGGTTGTATATCGATTTGTGGGAGCTCTCTGTAGTAGCAATAGACATGCTTGTACTGTTGCAAGTCGTGGAATGTGTAATTCTTGTTGAATGAAGAGCCAGGACAAACGAAACAGTTCATGTGATGTCGGAGGTGAATGTATAAGAGTTGTAGCAAGGAAATCATCATATAACATAAATGGTAGGGCTGTAGCGTATATCGCCGACAACAGAGAAAATGGTAACGTATGCAGAATCGCAGGGGAGAGTACTCCTGGTGATTGGAAAACTTGGCTCTTGGATAGAATAGGAAAATAGGGGTATACAAATCGGAAGAAAAGACCTATAAGACGGAGGGCTTCTTGGTCTGTGAACATGCCCCTCAGATCTGATTCGGCTTTACTGAGAACATCATCATCTATCCTTGGCTCCCCTTTCTGCGCAAAGCTATCATCTGCTAGCATAAATACTACAGGAGGTTCTCCTTTCTGGGCCGAAAAACTATTCTGTGTTGAGGAGTTCTTGATTCGCCGGTATGTTAACTTCGATATTGTACATTCATCGTTTTCATTATAGCGGTAATGACGCAGCAGGTATGGATTTGATTCACCCATTTCTCCAACAAATCTTGCCGACTTTGTAGAATGCTGAGAATCGAGGGGCCTTATTCGTGTGCTTTGCATCATGTTCAAGTAAGGATCCATATTGTATATAGGCGAGCCATCTTGGACGAGAATCTGTTGATCTGGAGACGAAGTCGATTCAGTCAAGACATCATGTCCGGCCAAGCTTTGAAAGCTATGCTCGCTATATTGGCTGATGAAGCTGGGACTAAGTTGGGCCGCCGAGACATCATATTGTTGTAAAGGAGCAGTAGCTTCACAGACACACAGGTCAGCGAATCTCTTTCATGATATACACACGACCTTTGCATGATCGTGTAATGTGTTGTAACATACAAGTAGATGTTGTAGATCCACTACTCTGATCACCATTGCTCGCTGCAAGATTTGGCCTCCTCTTCTTCTTTGGCCGATCTACAAATGTGCAACTTCTCCCATGAGATATGCACAATTGACAAGGCGGGGCGGAAGATATCGAACATCTTACTTGACGGGCCCGACAAAAATCACAAGGACGATACTTGCGCGACTTGTAGGATCTTGGACCTGGTTGAATTGGATGGTTGTTCAATTGTTGAGGTAATTGTAAGTCAATGGCGCCTCCGTTGAAGTAATCATTGGAATTAATTGAAGTTTGGAAATTATGAGGATCCATCGAATGAAGGGGGGAAGACTTTAGGAGCTAGGCCTATTGGTGGTACTAAATGACCCTTAGAGTTTCCTTATCGGCTCTGATAAACAATGACAATGAATGAATGCAACAGCAACTCTTTGGAACATCAAATTGACCGATTCATTCCCCGCGCGGGCAGGAGGTATTTCTTCTCTTTAATGATATATATCAAGTATATGCTTTAAGATATTCATTACGATCTCACTTATGATTACATCCAACTGGAATTACTTTTGTCTTTATCCCAATATTCTGGACGTTGAATGTTGGATGGCGTTGTATCCAATGTTCCAGAATATTTCCCATCTGGTCCAGTTTCTCATACTTCCTCCCACAAAGTTCATCCGAACACACGGCCAAGGATGCCCAAAGGAGTTGCCCGTGTTATCATCGTGCAGTTGATGTAGCGAGTGTCGTCAAATACATCCTTGTGCTTACAATGCTGGTCAGAATCAGTCCTAGTCGTTTCGGAGTTTACTTTGAGAAGCATGAGAATTATCGGACGAAAGTATCACTTTCACGAGAGAATGGCAAAGTCCGAGGAGGTCTTGGCTACAATGAATTCAAATATTCAAATAAATGGGATGTCCTCAGCTGCTTCTAAGCTTTTATGACGCGATTAACCTTCCATTTCTTTCTCTTCGTCGCAGCTTTCCTCTAATCGCCGAAGGAAGGTCTAATAGCCTCTGTCAAGTGTTCTCGGCCCATTGTCACAAAGTATAAAGATGTTTATTATCAATCCGGATGGAATTCATGGCATTGCGGTTGTTTGTCGGTTGTTATCTGCTGATTTGACTCATTGTACTGTGAAGTCGCAGTTCCGCTACTCTATTCCTTCGGCTTCGGCGATAGAGTTCCGTCTCAATATGTATCGATGTAGTCTATACTAGCTATGCTGTGTCTGATATTTGGCTTTTTGCAGGATTTCTCTTCAAATAGCATTATCCCGCTCATGTTTTTAGGTGACGAACGAGTGTTCGACATTGAGACTATGACTGGGGTGACAAATCCCATTCCTCGTCATAACAGCACGTAAAGAATTTCTTCAAGGCTATAGAACTCTCAAGCGGATATTTCCGGTTGTTTCTCATCATCCTCCATAGCTCTCGTGGGCTTTCCAAATCAGAAGCCGTTTTCTTCCGTAAGTATTCCAAATAGAATGCTACGAGAAGTTTCTCGAAGAAGAGAAGTAAATGTCTGCATCTGAACCCAGCCGAACATTAGATATGGTTTGGGCAAGCCTCCGACATTAAGGATGTACCCGATAGAGAGTCTGGATGTTGAACTCTTGGATTATGGAATGATATTTTGAATTTGACTGGTAGTGTGAAAGCCATTGGTGGCGATGGAATGAAGCACTCTTCATCTATTCTTGTAACCATATAATCTTCAGTACAGAAGATGTGAAAGAGCGCCATGAGTTTAGTCCATGAGAGTGTCTATCATGAGTGAACAGCTCTCCCGATCTCATATGATTATGTATGCTTTGAATATGTGGGATGTATTCAGCATCAAAAATCTAGGGATTAAATTGCCAATAGTGGATGACTAGGAAAAAGGATCATAAGTGAATCTTCCTTTGGAGATGGGAGTCCTGAGATATTGAGTCTCAAAAGAATTGGCAAGATTGAGCAGAGGTTCATTTGTTTGGACCCACTATGCATATGCTCGTTGCTCATGACTTGATGAGATAAGTCAACACTATTTGACTAACTATTGGCATTGGAATACAAGATTTCTGGAGGAGAAATGCGATTCCAACTGTGGGAAGGGGGTAGAATACACTAAACCAGACTGTTACATTTGCCTTTGAGTCGACTACTGCACTTCATAACACTTTGAAAATCTCTTATTTTCTTATTACCCGTGCTATTCAACCATTTCATTTTACCAGTACATTCTCATCTCCATGATCTCCGACCCATCTCCCCGAACTGTTGTTTCGAGGAACATTCCCCCAACCAGATAAGAACATTCACCCCCATCTTTTCTTATCCACCTGCATAGATTTATGGAGCACACATCCAAACAAGCATATTTTGCCCGTCAGCCAACGAGTCTTGGCTCAAAAGTGGTCTCATATCGTAGAGCTATTGTTCGTCAACCCACGCTTTCAACTGTTTTCATATCATATCCTGTATGTAATGAAAATCAACGTTGATTTGGATGCAATCACAGATTTTTTGGGGTTGTATCCTTTCCACCATACCTTCAACCAAACTATGTTTTGGTGAGTCGTATTCATTGTTTTCTCGTCTCGCTTGTTGCTTGGACGTGGGGGTCTGGGTTCCAAATGGTGTCACTGATTTGAACCATATACATTTTAAACTAAAACACTTTCTAATACATACGACCATAGACTGAGGAGAATTGGGCATCCCGTCCGCTCTGCCATACACAAGCCTCAGATCGGTAGATTAGTAGTTGGGTGGGTGACCACCAGCGAATCCCTGCTGTCGTATGTTTTTGGTGACTTTTGCCATTCATTTTGGTAGTGCTGGGAGACGATCTCGTTTGTGATTGGGAAGAGAAGTAGATCCATTACTATAAAGAATGGGGAACTTGTGAGTTGGACGGACAAGTGACATGAAATCCACTGCTCTCCCTGGACTTCATTTACTCCCACGGGCTTCTCAAGTCAGCTGTCCTCAGACGCCCCCTGTAACCAGACACATCGTAGGTACTTCGAGTTTATACGACTTGAAATCTACGAATACTCTAAGATTTTCTACACATTTTCATCTCATTTACATCGTGTACTGCTACCAAATACTCCCGACCTATCAATTCCGAAAATTATTATTGCATCGTTGCTACCTTTGAACTTGCAGAGGGTATCCTTTTGTACTAAAACAAGACACCCCTTGATATGGATACAACAACGTTAAGTTCTCATTACCAGTTAAACATCTGAATAGATTGAGTTTAGATATCCAAACTTTATTATAATACTAAAATGCTATTACCACTCTTATGGCGGCTGGGGTGTGGCCTATCACGACGCTGGCGTGCACGGTGACAAGAGGCAACAGTTCTCAAGAGATAGAATAAAGGCATGACGATAGCGAGCACAACGACGGCAAGCACAAGTGCTTTCAACGCGTCTCAGCTTCGAATCTACAAAAAACTGAGATAAGCGATCCTGTACTAACTAATAGGCGATTGGGAATCGCATGTTGTGCTAGTATATATGACTTGCGAAACGATAATTTCGGTCTTGAAGGAGAAAAAAGATCAGTCAGCAGCCTGAAAACCATTGTATACTTCATTACAGGCCCGCAAGTTTTCGAAATTACGTTAACAGGAGAGGCTTATAGCTTAATTCTTCTGCCTGAACAACCACCTGTCAAACTCGACCGTATCCAAACCCTTCGGTACCGAATCCCTCGCGCTTTTCCACTTCCTAGAATACACTCCAAAGCTATTGTGAACGGCTGGTTTCAACGCAAGAGACTTTGCTCTCAGCGTTTCGGGGCTATCCTCACCTTCACAGATCACCCTAGCTTTATAAGCTCTCTCTGCAAATATACTCGCGCGTGCCTGATCCCCATGCGCGATACTGATCTGGAAGGCGTCGTAGTAGGGCCTAGCAATTAGCCCGTCAGTACACCCATCGAACTCTTGGTCGAGGACTTGAATCAGCGAGTAGCAGTCCCTCAAACTCTCTTGTGGGTTGCTCTGCATGCGGAACGGATCTCCAATAGCGTCATCGAGGTTCTTGATCTGTGTGCGCCGATTGTCGCTAGCTTGGAGTAAGAAGGGGGGGAGCGTGCAACAACTACAAGTGCAGGAGAAACCAAAGCTTTCTTCAAGAAATGCTTGTCGCTCGCTTGACGTTCCGCCATGGTCGTACGATATTGTGATCTCAGCTCCTCTCTCGATCGATCGGATTGCATGGATCGTTTCGTGCTCCTTGGCGCTGTCCCAGCTATTGTGAGCATTTGGCATGCAACTGTGGTTGATTAAGCACACTGTTGGGTAGATGCTGCCTATGGGCGACCCAGAGCCGCATGGCAGAGCGTTCGTCTTGAAGATGCCGCTGAATGGGTTCTTCCCCGGGAAGTTGTTATGAAGAGACAGGAACTGTCGCTGTGACTCTCTAGACATGGCCTTCAACTTTGTCGCGAGAAATGCCTCTAACTCATCATGAGGCATAGGCCCAGCTTTAAGAAGCGGCTTCTCACAAATAATTCGAGTGCCTTTGGATATGTTGACACGGGCAACGAGACCGTTACCTTTTCCGGGGATGTGTTTAATCTCAAAAGGCGCAATGCCCAGCTCTGCGATGGGATCGGTGCCACTAAGGAGTTGGGCGATGCTGGACGGAGTCTCAAGTTTATCTGGCTGCAACTGAGACGTCAAATATTGTTCATCAAGCACATACACGATATCGGGGAGGCACCACCGACCTGCTGATATGACCTGATTGATTCATGAACTTCAGTCCAGTTGTAGACGCCAGACTGATCGGCACCCTCGTGCCAATACCGAACACGAGAGCCGAAGTTTGTCTGTGCAAAACCTGTCACAGTATCGATGTAGCTCTCTACATTCGTATCTGCTGCGATAGATCCCGATATCTTTGAGCTAAAACGCAGAAACTTGTGGCCCTCAAAGGGAAGCTGGGGATGTTCTCCTGCTTTGAAGATGATGTAATTCGGCTTTATCTCAACCTGAGTATCATCTTTGTAATACTCTTTAATCAATTCGATAAATCGTCCCCAGTTGTGCCTGTCTACTATTCCCTTAGACAGACGAGGATACATATCGAAGCCGGCATCGACTCCCATGGCTACACTATGCAACTAAAACCAGGCAAACGAAAAGTAGTAGGTGACAATATCTGATAGAAACGAGTTTATCGAAACTATATTTAACCCAGGAGAAAGATGTGAAAAACAGTGCCTTGATAATTCAATCCTTTACATTGTGTAATCATGTTGTGTAACTATAACACTACCAATGAACAGAGGACACATAGCCAGCGGTTAAAGTCCACTACAATGTTTGTATCTGATATGTTAACAATGTAATTCCTCACTCTTTAACTCGAGTACAAGCTTCAATCTATTCAAGATATGATAGTGATACTATTGGATAGTCTCCCACAACCATTCTTTTCCAATATGTTTCGGAGCGTAGCGGAAGAAACTTATGCGTCGGATTTTACGGAATTTTAGTATGGCGTAATGTAGATTATATTTTCAATACCCAGGAATCCAATTTATGTGTGGTTATATGATATAATCATATAATACCTTTTCTGAACTCAATTATATAAAGAAAAGAATTGAAAAAGAAGAAGAAAAAAGCTTTATTCTTAGTTTCTTAATACTAAAGGCGTATTAGATACTCAATTTAGTAATATTGAAGCTATATTACACGCTCCGAAACATTGGCGAGTTCACTCGCCCCGAAATTGGCATTGAAAAGTAAAGCATGCTAAGCTACCAGCCGATTTTGACTGAACCGCTATTCCACACTCCAAGTTCACTAAAACGGAAAGAGAATACCGATTTCCCTTTCTATGAAAACCCAACGAAGATTGATATTCATTCTACTATATAACAAGCAATATCGAAGCCAATCCGAGCTTGTCTCGAATAACAATCTGTTTATCAACTCTATCATAACATTGGATTGTATAGCAATTTCCTCTCCTCTTAATACATCTGCATCACTGAAGCTTTCCACGGTTTCGGCTCACTCTCACTGTTAGCGATTTGTGTTCTACTAGCCTACATTACCAAGACACTTGCTGGCTTGTGGACATTTCTCATCCGCATCATCTTGCTCTTTAGCTCCGGCACTTCTATCTATACTCTTGCACTTTCAAAAACTAATGAAAATATACAGCTCACCAAATTCAAATAATCCAAATCCATATAACACACAAAACTCCCGTCCCATTACTACACTCTTATCCATATCTTCCATCTAGCATTTACCATCTTCCTCCCTCTGCCCCCCCTCTTCCCACCCCCCTTCAAAGCCAGCAAAGACACAGCTCTACACCCCCATCATCCCCAGTCCCTCCCCGAGTCCAGAAGAACACTGCACAAACGATCCACATAAATATTCCCAAACCCTCCGTTCTTCCCATCTCGTATTTCTTATCTTGGGCCCTAATTACCCATCATTATCCTCTCACAAATATATGTAAGATTACATATATGCATCTTCAACCCCATCCTCACACCAGCATCTTCCTCTCCATTCCCAATCTCACACCCCAATCCCATTCCTAGTCCCATCTTATCACCCATCCCACCCATTTAATCCAAACAAAACTTGCAGATAGAACATATCCAATTATGAAAAAGATTATCAAAACTTCTACTATATATGTAGACTGATGTGTGTAAGACCTCGGGAGCGACTATGACCTCATCAACTAGAGATCTAAATGCAAAGAGACGAAAGGCTAAAAGAACAAACACAATAACAAGGACAATCATCAACAGACACGCAAACACATAAATGGAGATTGAAAAACTCTCATTCCAATCAAATTCGTCCACGCATGTAGACACTCGCCCTCATATCATCTATCTACCACCCCGAAAATTGTCTATTAATTCGCATTGCAATTGCAATCGCATTCATCATATATCAGATCATTAAACTCATTTCCTCTACTCTTATTCTGAGAAGATCATAGCAAGCCTCCATACAAAAACCAGAAGAACCAAACCAATGCCAGATATGTGTGTATGCACGCAAGCCAGGTATTCCCAAAACGCCTTAATGCTTAGCGGTGACCTTTTCACCCGTCAATTTCTCGACATAAGCTTTTGCCCTGTTCATTTTATGTTAGTAATCGTTGTTTGGTAGTTGTTGAGTAGTGAAGGGATGATGGAAGGGAAGAAAACTTACATATCACCCATAGCAACCATACAGATAGTTTGCCAAACGCCCAACCCAATTCTAGGAACAACGCCACGATACAAGCCCGAAACTCCGTTCTGACTATAAATATACTTGAGGGTATTGCCAACCGTCATCTTAGCAGGTCGGTTGGGATCCACCGTCTTACTCTGCATCTCAACACGAATAACTTCGATAGGTTGATTCCAAGCACTCAATCCACCACCCAATCCACTTGCCAAAATCTTCTCCCAAGCATTCAACTTTCCATTCTCACCCTTGCCGGTTGCTTTTCGGATACCGCTTTCTGCCAATCGACTCAATCCGAATCTACTTCCCCAGTTGGTCATTTGACGAATAGCAACGGCGTTGACTCCCTTGTTGATTCCCTTGATACCTTCTTTGCGGTAGATGTTCATGAAGGTGGTCATGGTACCGTCAGGCTTAACACCAGCTTTTGCCATGTTTGTCTTGGTGATTTCGACGGTCTTCATGCAGGTGCAGAATCCCATGGTAGCATATGCTTGAGCAACACCACCAATTACACCTCCACTAATACCGGCGGTGAAATCACCAGCACCGAAAGAACGAGCGTACCACTCGGCTTCGGAGGCGACGAAGAGGAGAACGGCACCTTTGGTGGAGGCTTCGATCCATGCCCATGGAATAAGTCCTTGGTAGACTGTAGTGGGATTATCATTAGCTGTTATTCTTGCAGATCTGGAGTAAAAACAAAAATGCACAAATCAAATCATAGAATAGGATTGACGTGGAAATCAAGAAACCCATGAAAAAAGAATGAAAAAAAAAACATACATCCAAGAACACCACCTCTCCCCCAAATTCTACCCAGAGCACCCGCAAAAGTATCCCCTCTATTAGCAGCCATAGTAGTCTTTGTAACCTCTAACGGTTGACCCAAAGTGGTTACCTCGAACAAGTTCAAACTGGCCCCCAAAAGCAAGTTGGAGAACTTGACGGGTTTCTTCTCTGGAACGGCTGGTTTGCCGACAATGGGCATTTTGGCGGTGACAGCGGACATGATAAGGTAGATGGTGTTTGTATTGGGGCCCTGACCAAGGGAATAGGTTGCTTCTTCGCAAAGGAAAGGGTGGTGAGATTGAGGGTTGTTGTTGTGGTTGGAAAATACCGAAGTAAGGAAGATTTGATGGATGGAAGGAAGGAAAAGGGAATGAGAGCGAGGGAGGGAGGAGGAAGAGATATGTGTTTGTTGAAAGGAGAGCTTAGCTGATCTGCCACAGTTCTCGCGAAAGATAGGAAGCTAATGAAAGACCAGGTGGACCCTAATTTTTTGAGCGGTGCTCGGTATTGGGGTCTTCGGGCCCCGATAAGATACAAGGGTAGGTATGTGGGAATTTGTTGATAATGCTGAAAACTTATTTGGAGTGAAGGTGAAGAAAGCAATAAAAGAAAAAGTTTACCTGGTAGGAAATTATATAGAAATTATATAGAAATTATATAAAAATTATTTTAAAGAAACTCCTCGATTATTTATATTGTGCTATTTAAATTACCAAATTGTTCATTGTTCACCTACCTAGGTATTATATTATTACATTCTTTCCTGCAAGATAATGAATCGGGGTCAGCAGAAAGAAAGTCTTGGTCTTGAATGAATGAATGCTTCCAAGATCTATTGTGTTTGGTACCAGCTGGTGCAGCACCAGAAAGTAAACTTCTCTTCTCTATCAATCACTTATCAATCATACTCGGGCCCAGCTTTCCTGATGCATATGTCCTCTGTCTCTTGTCCATTGTCCACCCATCAATCATTGTACACATAACAAGTTCACAACCTTATTTCTTACCTACAGAGGGTCTACTGCTATTTAAAGCCTACTAAATACCATCCGGGCAACCCTAAAGAAAAAGAATGGAACAACCTTGGAAGCCTCGGCCATTTGTTGAGAAGTTCAAGCTCAACGAATTGCATGTGTTGTTGATTCATTGGGGAAGTCCGCTCCGAATTTAAAAGCGGTCTGTAATTTGGTATCAGTATTGCTTTTTCCTCTTTGGATGAAGTCCCGAGCTGAATTGATCGGCTTGCTAGTACGACATCTTGTTGTCAATAATGAGTAAACTTTGTATGCATTCTTGACTCGAACATTGTTTGGTTCGGACACTTATTGTTTGTGTTGATGATCTCATTACCATCTTCTACACGAGTGATAGCTGAGTTGATTGAAATCAGATACTCTTAGACTATCAGTCTTGCGATGCGAGATAACGACGACCTTTATCTATGAAGCGCCGTAGCATATCCCTTACTTTCTGAACGACTATCTGTACCCTCTCAGGATCTTACTCGTTTTCCCCAACATGTTTAAGTCTCAGGACTGTAGCTTCCTTCACAAGCTGATGGAATGATTTCTATTATCAAAGGACCAAGTACCTAGGTAGCAAAAGTATACGACCACACCGGCCTGCTCTCTTACATTACTTGTTAGTTTCGTCTAACCCCTCCCCTCTACGTAGCCGAAATAATAGGCTGAACTCGAGTACTTTTGAGAACTCTTTACAATTAATCGTTACTTACAACTCTTATGATACATTTATTTTGTGAATAGACGCTAAACTTTCATCAGCTGATCTCGATTTTTATGCTTCACCTGGGCAATTTGTGATTGATTTATGAACCCAATGACCTAAGTTCACAATCCCGACCTGTTTTTTCGGCAAACTCCAATACTCCAGCTGCTCCTGATTTCTGGCCCCGAATCCACAACCTACATACACCATGGAGCTCGTGATATCCCCTCCATAAAATCCACAGTATTCCAAACCACCTCATAAATTCATGCACCCATACCCCTCACATCCTTCTAACCCCCAATTCCCCCAATCCTAACACCAAGAAAAAAAAAACTCCAAACCCCAGTGCCAGATTCCAGGGGTGTCTTCTTATAATCACGTACATCACAATCCATCTATAGAGCGTCGTACCGACAACCCTCAATAAAACTAACCAATCTGATAAAGAATTAGCAACAACTCGACAGTGAAATAACGCGAACAAGATGTGTACGAGAGATGTCTAGTCAGATTTGAATAGCAGAGTTGGGATGATGTTGATATTTGTATCTGGATGGGATTGAGATGGGTTGGGCATTTGATCGCTTTGGGCCGCTTTCCTATGTCATGATTAAGGGTTGTAGTTGAAAGAATTGGATACTTGCAAGAGATTGAATGTCCCAGTAAATATGAATCACTGAAAAGAAAGGAGTGGTGCAATTGATTCGTATATATGTTTGAGTACATCTAGAACGTTAATGGCATGAGACACATGTCAGCAAGTAACAGGATGCATAATATACCAGATTGATAGTGGAGATCCCTTCGTCTTTGTTCTTCTAGCAAAAGCAAATCATTATATTATACACTGAATCATCATGAGGAGAAGTATGAGTACGTATTCCTGCTCTAGGTTTCCTTTACTGCAACTTCTTGAAAAAATGATTCTACAATTTTATAATGGTTGGCTCTATCCAGTCTACACCTTTGGTCATTAATTCAGGGCGTCCATGTGTATACCACTAAGTTTACCTCCCCACTACTCTTTTGAAATCCTTTTTACAACTTGGCTCCAACAATCTCGGCCCACTTCTCGGTGGAGAAGGACTTGGGGCGCTCAATTGGGGCACCGACGGCTCTGTCGATGATCAATTGTGGGAGGACACCAATGGCACGGGAAACACCGAAGAGAACGGTGTAGTAGTTGGCCTCAGTCAAACCATAGTATTGGAGCAAGACACCAGAGTGCTATGAAAAGCGTCAGTTATTAAATTATATATATTTGTAGTTGAAGTACTCACAGCGTCAACATTTGGGAACGGATTTTTGGTCTTGCCATGCTCGGTGAGAACACCTGGAGCAATCTTATAAACTTGGCTAACAAGCTTGTACATAGGATCTGTAAATTATAATGTTAGAGTTGAAAATGCGAATCACGTGCTCGGTTAAACTTACCCGATGGCAAATGCTTCTCGGCAAATTCTCTCTGAGCCATGTAACGGGGATCAGTCTTGCGGAGAACGGCGTGACCGTAACCTGGCACGACTTGACCGGCGTTAAGAGTAGACCACAAGTAGTTCTTGATGGCCTCATCACTGAGATCGTCACCAATAGCAGCCTTCATCTTTGTGAGCCAGTTCAAGACTTCTTGGTTGGCGAGACCGTGAAGAGGACCAGCGAGACCGTTCAAACCGGCAGCGAGGGACAACATTGGGGAACTGAGAGCAGATCCAACCAAGTGAGTGGTGTGGGCAGAAACGTTACCACCCTCGTGATCGGTGTGGATGGTGAGGTACAATCTCATCAATTCAACGAAGTCCTTGTTCTCGCCAAATCCGAGTTGGTTGGCAAAGTTGAAGGAGTAATCCTTGTCCTTTTGGACAGCAGCGACCTTACCGCCCTTGAAGACGTTTTGGTAGATTCTAGCGGCGATGGTTGGGAGCTTGGCAATCAAATCCATGGAATCCTCGAAAGTGTGACCCCAGTACTCGGTCTTCTTCATTCCCTTAGCATAAGCCTTGGCGAATGCGGACTCGTGCTCGAGAGCAGTGACAGCGAGGGAGAATTGTGCCATTGGGTGGAGATCGCTTGGGCATCGGTCGATGAGCTCTTCGACGAACTTTGGTACATCGGAACGAGCGGCCCACTCGGCAGAGAGATCGCGAACTTGTTGCTCGCTTGGAACTTCACCGGTCAAAAGGAGCCAGAAAAGACCTTGGTTAAATTAGTGATTGCGCATAACAGCAAGCGTCATATGAGGTCTTACCTTCTGGTAAAGGCTCTTGTCCACCTGGTGCCTTTGGGAGGAGTTCCTGGCACTCTGGGATAGTCTTTCCTCTGAAACGGATACCCTCCTCAGAGTCGAGAACTGAACCTTCCCAAACTAATGACTTGATACCACGAGCGCCACCGTAGACTTGGTCCAAAGTAACCTCGCCGATGACCTTGTTTCCGTAACCCCTGCGGAAATCAGTATATGTAGATGTAAAGTGAGTGTCGATTTTTTAAATCGATAAGATGTTTCTTACTTGCGGAGAGCCTTGATTTGCTCAATCTTCTCTGGAAGTTGCTCGGCGAAACGCTCCTTCAAAGTCTAGAAAGAAGAATAGTCAGTAAAGCTGGCTTGTGCAGCATGGAGAAAGTTTGGAGTATACCTGAGTCTTCGATGAATAGCATCGCAAGCCATTGAAGGCGGCGGATTTAGCACCGAATGTTGGAGCTCTCATAGATGCTCTAAGAGCGGTTTGACCAATACGAAGGGATGCCATCGTGAGAGATATTGTAATTGCAGTAGAATGCAAAAAATGTAGGTATGATAGAATAGAAATTTAAGAACAGATTTCCGGCTCGTGGACGGAAAAAATGGTCGGAGACCCGCTAGTGTTGAGGCCGACCAATGCACCAATACATGCAGAAAGCTCCCCCTACCTTAACTACGTCAACCTTGGTATTTGATAAACGCGAGTTATCCCGAGAATGTAAGACGGAAATCCCCACAGATTTCAATAATTGTATTAGTTTAATTGGTTACGCGAATGAATGATATGGATTAATTCACTCCATTCAACTGGAGATCTGGCTTACTGTATAGATATGGCGGGGCGAAATTAACAGAGTACTCCAGCTAGGTAGGTAAACACGTGGTAAAGTAGATATGGGCGGCTCGAAGGCGGCTATGTTCTACCTATACCTGGGCAATACCCGATTCGGTAACTCCCCGCCAATTCTCAAGTCTTCCAAGTTCTGTGCTCTTTGCCCCGGTGCCGGCGAAAGAGGTCGGCAATTGATTCATAAGTAGGTAGATACGCACATCGACATAAATAGGTAGGTTTCACAAGTTAATTAATTCATATTTCTTCTCCATGTTGTTCATATTTCATGACCTTCCATTCAACCAATGACAGGATTCACTTTGTTGTGTTTTGCTTCTCACATCCTTCCATCTAACCAATCATATTCTCCATTCACCCCATTTGCCCCGGGGAAGTGAAACAAGAAATGAGATTCTGTCAAAGGAACCGTAATTTGATAATTTCGTGTCCCACACGTGACTGTACAGCTGATGGATGACTAACTAGGGCGTAAAAAACAAGACCTTGCCTTTTAGCTCCATGATTAGTCGAATGATCGAAGCTCCTGCACATAAACCCCAACCTTTTTCAACTCGGATAACTTCGACAACTTCAACATCTTCGAACGTCCCTTAACTCATTTAATCTCCATCTACTTGAATCTGAGGTAAATCAAAGTAATCAAAATCTCGTTACATTAGTAGCGACTTCTACCTTCTGCCACAACCCTCTCCAAAATATTATCAGAGTTCTGAAGAGCTCTAGACTTTACGTGACGGTCGCAGATCCGTAGTCGCGATAGATCCGTTCATCAAATTTTCATCGTAGCCCATAATCTGGAATCGAGCTGGTGAAAATCAAATCATAGAGAGTAATCTAGATTTAATTGTCACCTCGTCGATAACAATTCGTCGCGTTGATTTGAAGAACTGAGTTCATATCTCCAGTGGTTGAGAAGTCATATCCATCATGTCTTCCGCAGTAGCAGAATTAGAAGCCGGCCTTCAAGCCATGGTTCAATTAAGACCTCCTGGTGTATCAGGATCTCGAATTCAAGGCCTTACAAACCTCTGCACCCAAAATATCCAGGTATGCGATAATCTCATGTTCCGCTGCTTCCATTGCCACCACGGCTTGCATCTCTCCCCATCTCCCTCCTTGCCTGCGAGCTCTAACTAACATCTCATTCTCTCTGCAGCAAGAATCCGCTTTGGTTCAGAAATTATATGTTCACTTTAAAAAGACACCTGGCACACACAAGCTTGGCACCCTCTACGTCGTAGACTCTGTAAACTCGAAAATGGGACCGAACAAGCCAAACTTGCTCAACAAACCATAAATAGTTCTGCTCCGGATGGCACGTATGCTGCTGGTGTACATAAAGTAAAGGAATTGCTCCCCGCTTTTATGAACGACATAATCCAAACTGCTCCCGATGATCAAAAGGTACGCCCAGTATATTCAAAATGCTCGAAACTGAGTCGTTTCCAGCATAGCTATGTTCTATGTCTGCGTGAAAATTTGCTTCCAAGATATCATAAATGTTCCTCAACCCGAGATATCATTGTGCACCTTCTCTATATTCACCAATCCTCCATATGAATTCCTACTTACTTGACGTTTGTTGTTTTTTGTAGGACAAGATTAAAAAATTAGTTGATATTTGGGAGAAGGGACAAACCTTCCCTGCGCAAATGTTGAATGGCTTTAAAGACAAGTTGAATGCTGGTAAGATTGTCACATATAATCCCGAGAGAAAATAATGTTGCCGTATATCTAACCATAATGTTATCGGCCATGTAGAATCTACAACACCTCCAGGAAGTCCCCCAAAAGATCTTCAAGGAGCCTTAGGTTTACAACCAACTTCAGCAACTTCGACCATGGCGCCCCCACAACAAGTTTCTGTGCCCCCTAATACATCTTCGATATTAGCAGCTCTCGCAAATATGTCAAACACTGCCCGTCAAAATGCTACACCTACGCCAGTTGCTTCTACCCCACCTGTTAATCCATACAATGTGTCACATGCGCAGCATAATCCCATTCAACCACCTCAAGCAGTAAACCAAAGCTTGCCATTTTCAGTTGCTCCTCAACCTGTAAATGCCCCAGCTACCTCGATGCCTGCTTATGGTCAAGGTCCAAGTAATGGAATGCCGAACTTTGCCAGTAATCCAAATCCTTTCCCAGGTGCAGCACCAATGAACCCTCCCGGTAATCTCGACCCAGCTACGCAACAACAGGTAGCTTTAATCAAGGCACTTGCAGCTACGGGTGTTCCAGCCGAACAGATTGCTGGTATCTTAGCAGCCATGGGTAATCAAGGAGCTGCAGCCGCTGCTCCTCCTCCATTTGCTCAAAATCAAAATGCTCATGCTCAAAATAATTGGGGTGTCAGAGATGATGCACGTGACCGAAATGGTTTCCAAGATTCTATGAGATCACCACCTGGACGTTACCGTCGTCGTTCTAGATCCCCATCCCCTCAACGTGGCTGGGGTGGTCGTGATTCTCCAAATGCTCGTCGTCGTGATGATTTTGATAGGGAATCTCCAGCACGTATGAGAGGTTCCGATGATCGTGGTAGAGGTGGACGCGGCCGAGGTAATGAATACCGCCAACGTAGCCCCCAACGCCGTCGCAGCAATACACCTCCTAGAACAAATACCAGTGGACCTAAATGGGTTGGACACGATGCTTCAATTGGTAAAGGAAATATCAAAGGTAAATTATCAATCTGTCTGCATTTATGTTTGAAGTTATTCTAACAAAACTTACAGTTCTCAGTCGCACTTTGTTTGTTGGTGGAGTTACGTAAGTCAAGCCATTGGTCTTTTTCATTCGAATTGTCCTTTTTCGAAAGTTTGCCGTTTATACTGACTTTCTATAGTTCTTCCGAGCATGAATTGAAAGGACTCTTCAATCAATATGGTGATGTGCAAACTTGCATTGTTAACAAAGAAAAGCGCCACGCTTTCGTTAAGATGGTCAGTCGCGAGCATGCTGTCAAAGCTAAGGAGGCCATGGAAAAGAACAGAAGTCCCGAGTCTACATTGAGAGTATGTACATTACATATAAATGCCATTCATACTCAAACAATTTGCTAACTCTTAATTCCAGACTCGTTGGGGTGTTGGCTTCGGACCACGTGATTGCAGTGATTACCAAACAGGTATCAGCATCATTCCGATCAGCAAACTCACGGATGCCGACCGAAAGTGGATGCTCAATGCAGAATTTGGTGGCAGTGGTGGCCAAGAAATTGAACCTGGTATGGTTGTCGAAGAGCCTGATATTGAAATCGGTCAAGGTGTTTCGTCCAAGGCAATTAGCCGTCGCATGCAAACCGACAACGGTGGAAAGAATGGTCCAAAATCTGGCGCCCGCGATTACGAGGAGGATGAGAGACCTCGTTATCGTCGTGATCGAGAAGATCGTCGGGATGACCATCGGGATGAAGGTCATAAATTCCCTGCCAATACTGTTCCGCCAGTCATGCCTCCATTCCCGTTAGGCTCGTTCCCTTATCCTCTTCCAACACTTCCTAATGGAATGCCAATGTTTCCTCCAGGATTCACTTTCCCAGGCGCACCTCCACCACCTCCACCAGGAACATAGTTCATCTCAAATGATGAGTTTCATGGTGTTGGCCATTCGCACAACAATTCCTTTGGTAATTTATTGACACGATTCATATCACGCATTTCTGTGGCGTTTAGGCGTTCAAGATACCTCGATTATGGCTCTGGTTTGCCACCTCGAAAACAAAAACTCAGGGTCTTGAATTCATGAGCAAACAGGATCATTATAGTAATCAGCAAGTTGGGGCAGTGGACTGTTTGGGTGACCGACACGGCACATATGTACACTTCTTGCGTTTATTGTTTTTCTCCTTCTTTCTCGTTTATGTAGCTAGCTTGGTGCCTTTTTCTGGTGCGTAGTTGATACAAATACCCAATTTTATGAACACTTTTATGTGCTATAGTGATTCAATGAAAGAGCTTGTGAAAATTCTAGGCCAATAGGCCAGCCTTGTGAATGTCTGGTGAGTGGTGGGGACGGTGGAGCCCTTACTTTTTGAATTATCTGCACTAGGGTAGTTGCTATATAAGATGAGCCCAGGTTTCCGTTCACAATTCATGAAACAGAAACGAAGACAGCCGAGACTTTGAAGGCCATGTAGATGTATGAACAGCTCGGCTGTTGCGTGTACCCTCGGAGATCAACACGACTCAACGCAGATAGTCCTCTGCAGGGGCGAAGAACTGAAGTGTCCTGTTTTCGATATTCTTACCATTTGGTTGTTTTCACCGTCGAGAATTTTGTTGTTGTTACTCTAAGTGGAGTGCTAAGTAGCTGTTGTTGTCACTCCTATTTCATTCATACACCCAACATCAGATTCAGGCTTATTTTCTTCATTTATTCCGTTATTTTTCTCGGTGTCGGTCTTGTGACTAGAGGGGTGATTTAGTGTTTGGTAAGGTTTATTCGTCCACCCCACTCATATTCACCTTCTTGGGGCTTTTCTGGCATCTTATAAAAGTTCTTGAGAAAGAGAAAGAGAAAGGAAGGAGAATGGAGATGTTATATACTACAAATTGCGAGAGGAAGTGATGTGGCCCATTCTGTGAGGTTGTTCTTTGAGATGTCGAGTTGAAATAGAGTATTCTTTGTCAAGTCAATGGCTCTTACTAGCCGTCGACTTCTCCCGGAGGTTGGTATATAAGGACTCAATATCACATTTGTTTTTATTCATATGCACTCCAAAATACGAAGAGCAGAATCTATCATGGAGGCCAACCAATCTTTCAATTTTCACGAAAAACTTTCCATCAAGTGATTCCTCTACTAGGAAATGGTGCGGGTTGGACCGGTGGTTCCTCGGATAAGTGGTGTTTGTATTACTGTCGATATGGCCCAGTGGTGAGTAAATTCAATAACAGTTGGATTTGTATTCTTGTTGTTTCTTTTTGCACGACTACGTATTATTGTCATAGTACCTACAGTCTACACAAAAAACTACTTCTCTCCTAACTATAGAATCAGATGTCCCGAAAACGTAACGGCATCAATACATGTAGTATTATTCCTCATTCTCACGTATCATGACCGTTGAATCTCATCTATCTTGTCTCATATCGTATGGCGATTTCGACTCCAAGTTTGGAGAGCAGGAATGTTGAGAATTTAAGTAGCTTTTGTAGAGTCATCTCTAAGAAAAGAGCAGTTCTCACTGGATTCTATGTGGTTCTAGTTCGCGTTAACCTAAAGAAAGCAGACCCATGTTCCATTCATAGTCTCACCCCAGGGTTCATGCTATGATGGAATAGTTCGTTGAAGAGGTATATATACCTCTTCATTAACAAGACTCTTTAAAGCTCAAAGTTCACAGTCTCATTTCCACGATGTGATGGTGAATCGCAAACAAGTACAAACTATAACATCCCTTCCCATCTTTAGAGATGGAACTTCGAAAAATACTAGCTGGTGCTGGTAAACAGCGTGATTCTCAACGTGGGATACATGTAAAGAGATCAGAATTTTCGCATGGATCTAGGCATGGAAAGATTTGATGGTATTTGAACAAGAAAAGCTAATCATTGATATCAGCAGGGTATTAATCATTTATCATATGTACATTTCCTCCTTAACTCTATGAAATCGATGTTCATCTCGAAAATTATTTCAGAGTCTTTATTCGTTTCCTCCCACTATAACCCCCCCTAGGATCGCAAGCCAAACCACATACTTCTACAAAATCACCTTACTTCTCCACCATAACACTCTCCGGAACAAAAACGCCTTCACGACTCTCACTTCCATCTCCCGCCAATCTTTTCTTCTCCGCCTCCTTATCCGCATCCCCCATCTCAGCAAGTCCATACCACGTAATGGTAGCTAGACCCAAAAGCGCAGCCAAGCAACTAAACACCATAGCTACAATTCCCTTCGCCGTGAAACCTGCAGGCAACGGGCCAGGGGCTACATTGGCACCTTTCAGATCCAAGTGATCTTCCGTATTACCAGCCGCATTGCCTGTATACGGTACACCACGAGCTTGGCAAGCCGTGATGTGATCCTTTGGGATAGTGAGAGATTTTTGGAGCTCCAGAGGGGCTTCGATCATGGTTGCGATGAGACCCTGGTCGACGTGCCATTCGATGTGGCAGTGGAAGAGCCAAACTCCCGGGTTGTCGGATTGGAAACGGAGAACGAGGTAGCCGGATGGACGAAGGACGACCGTGTCGCGACGCATGGGAACGGCTGGAAAGGATGTCTCTGTTGTGTTGGTAGAGTCGAATGTGCCAGCATCTTCATCGGATCTCTGGATTACTT